CCTTAGCTGTCGCTCTCCCACCTTATTAGCAGAAGGAGCCACAGAGTTGTGTCCTGAAAATGTAGAGAGTATGAATAAGAACTGGAGTTCCAAAAGATCACTGGACTTTGTCAGCAAGATTTGGAAACTAAAAATGGATCCAGATGAGACAATGGTTTCTTATGATGTCACTTCATTTTTCACCTGTATTCTAAAGCTGTCATGGTAGTGAGGAAACCACCGCTACAAGACAGCACATTAGGTGACAAAACTAACCACAGCCCATGCTGCACCTCTGCCTACAAAAACAAAAAAAGTTCAGTTGCCTTTTGAAAAAGCACTTTTGGGGCAACCACGACCTGGACAATTGACAATCTCTATAGACGTAAGTGGAGAATGCTGTAGATCAGACATGTCAAACTCGCGACATCACATGACACTGTGCAATGTATCAGAGCTTTTCACCATTCCCAGCAATGGGATGGGCGTGGTTTCCCGATGACGCATCTGGCCCGCGGAGCGGCAGTTTGACACCCTGCTGTAGATGGATAGATGCCTCTACTTCTTATATAACAGGACTAAATTAGATTGTCTATATAGTTGTTCAGTATATGAGTTTGTGTAGATTGCATATATAGATTTCAAAACTAAACTGTGTTCTAGTAAACTTGTGCAAAACCTTTCAATTCAGATTGTATTGAATTTGAAATATGCTTCTAAAATGATTTAAATACGTTGTTCTGTGCTTGAAGCAACATAATGCTGTGCAGGGAGCAACTGTTTTATTATTTATTTATTTGATTTATTTATTTGATTTGTATAGCTACCTATCTTAACAAATATTTCTGGAAGGCGAACAATATCACACAAAAAAATAAATATGCCATAAATACAAACTTTAAAATGCATAGCAGCCAAGGAAGGCATCACAATCAACAATGCTAATACATTCAAGGGGATCTTTGTGTCATTTTACACACAGGTCTGGGCACAAGAGTTTTGCACTAGAAATAGTCCGAATTCAGAATGTTTTGAATCAAAACACATCACTTAAGCCAGAGGCCCCAACCTTTTGGGCACCAAGGACTGGTTCCATGGAGAAAGGTTTTTCCACGGACTGGAGAGTGCATGTTTTGTGTGCTGCCTGCATCCCATGGATGGGGCTTTGCTTGTTTGTGTGGACCAGTTGCTGGCATGCTGCAGGCCGATACCGATCCACAGACCGGGGGTTGGAGACCCCTGACTTAAGCCATTCTATTTCATTATTTTAAATACTGACTGGCAATTGTTCTCTAGGTTTTTACAAAGCAATTTCTAACCTAGAGATTGAACTTGAGACTTTGTATATACTGTGTATCATCACAACAACATAATTTGGGCCCAATTCAAATTTTCAGTATTAGAAATTCAAGCAACAGGATCTGACTGAGTTATCCAGTTCTTTATTTTATTGAATGTATTCTTAGACTCTATACAGATTGTGCTATCAAAGTACCTCACACAAAAACAAAGAAATCAATTGTTAAACCATATGCCTCTTCTCTTTTAAACTGAACAGTCGCATATAGTACTATATGTTCCTTATTTGTTTTCTAAAGGCACTAAAGAGCTTGATGAAAATTTTAATGACAACATGAAATTTGCAAAGTTAAAAATACACATGCTATTTTTACACAAATGTATCTAATTTTCCAGTCGTGTGTGTGTGTGTGTGTGTGTGTGCATTCCTTTTTGGAAAATGAAATCCACGTTACTTGCTCTCTTTTTCTCTTCACGATGCAGACCAGCTCAGACCCGTATTTCTGGTTTGCGTTTTTTTTTTTTTTTTTTTTGAGCAAGGGATTTGCAGGACAAATTGTGTTTTTGTTTAATCTCTTCTTGATTGGGAGATACTGTTTCAGGTTTAGAAGTACCTTGGAATTTTTGAGCCGCAATTTGCTGTTTTTTCATTCAATATAAGCCTCTGTGAATCCAATGTTGATTTTTATCCCAGATGGGGAAAAAATGGTCTTTTGAAAACAGCAGAGAGGAGTTTGACAGGTGGGATTTTCTTCCATTTGCTAGTCTTATTTTGTCCTTTAAAAGCACTGGCACTCTTTCAGAATCATATGCTAGCAGTGTTATCACCAAAGTAACACATATGCATAGTGAGAAGGAAGCTGCTACTTACAAGTTGTTTAAAGTGATGGGGTTCTTTTTCCCCTCCCTAAAGGCAATGTAGTAAGAGACTTGAGAGGGCAAATAAGAGGTGCTTGTTTCCTTGCTCAACCAAGAAGACCTATGTTGAAATCCTCTCTCAGATGCTAGAACTTAACAAGAATTCTTGGGCCAATAATTCTCTCTTAGTTCAACTTATAGTACAGGATAATTATTGTGGGGAAAAATGGAGAAGGTGTATACCACTTCAAACTCCTGAAGAAAAGGTAGAATAGAAATCTCCCCAATAAAAATGAACAAAATCAGAGGTTGTAATAATGAAGAAGAGTCTAATAATAAAGACCATACTAGTATATTGTTTAATTGATACTGTTCCATTAAATCAAGCAAAGAATGGTATTTAACAGTGTAAATAACTCCTTCTGATTCAGTGAAAATATACAATCCTGTTGATCTTCACTTTATCAGCCTGTTGATAATATTATATCAGGTAGAGGTATCAATTGTTCTTCATCCTGTTGATAATATCATGGAGGATAAAGGTATCAGTTGGTCTTCATCCTAGAAGCAAAGTATTTGTTACTCTATTTTAGAGGCATCAAGTCTCTGAATATAGTTTGCCAGAGAAAAGAGATGAGAAGATCCCAATGTTTTCAGGGCCTGCCAGGAAACAACATGGGAAAACAGAATACTGGGCTAAATGAGTTTTTGATCTAATCCAGCAAATCTATTTTTAACAATTTCACAATAAGCTTCAGAAGACAGATGCCTTAGCTGCTTATCCTGTAACCTTGTCGTTATTATTTTCTTGGGCCCACAGAAAACTGAGTAGGAAAGGTAAGACTTTTGCAGAAGTAATAAAAGTTGCAAGTAAACAAAACAGAGTCAAGGGTATTGTAAATCTCTTCAGTGGGTTTCGAAAGCATTATTTTAAGATTTTGATCACCGCTTCTATTTACAGCTAACCCAGGTTGCTATAGGGGGAAAAATAACGATATTAATTTTGTAAAAAGTAGAAGATGCAGATGACCTTGACAGAAATAGGCAAGATCTGTTACCAAAGCAAAGAGGGAGAAAAACAAATTGTTGAGTCCAAAACAAGCAGAAAATGCATGGAAACAGCTGGGACAGAAATCTCCCTAATCAGCCTAAGAAGGGAGAGAAATAAAGCAAGTCAGACTTACAAGATTCTGTTACTATAGACAATAATAAAAAAACAGTCTCCATAAAAGTAGTTTTGGCCTTCCTGTGGAGTTGATTTCTTGGTTTTCCTACCTAGTGGAGCCGACATTTTGCTGGATACGACAATAAAACAGTAGCTTAGGCTGTACTCTTAGCTCTGGATTTACTACGAATTGAGCATCATTAACCCAATGCTTCAATGTAGAATTGTGCTATTTGCACATTACTTAGAAATAATCTTCACAGATTTCATCATTTGTTAGATTTATATTCCACCTTTCATTCAGGAACTCATTGTAGCTGATATATTATTTTCTCCTCCTATTTTTCCCCACTATAACCTATGGGGATAGTTGGAATGCAGTTCCACAGCTCAACCACTACACAACATTGGCTGATCATAGGGGCCAACTTTATAATAAGTGATAGTGTTGTGCTGTTAATTTTGTAAATGAGATGGGGTTTTAGAGAGATGTAATATACATATTTTACTTGTGCCTATTCCTGTCTTTTTAAAATTTACAGTTGAAGTACATTTCTAACTTTGTTCAGTATTTAACAGGGATATTATGCGGATTTCAGAATGGGTTGATAATTTCTTATGAACTTCCATATATTTAATGAGGTTTCACCTTTATATCATGTAGGATAATGTCTCAGACCATATCTACTGATATTCAAGTTTCCTTTAGATCCCCTGAGTTGGGTCAGGATGAAAAATATTGCGCATTCATTCTTCTGTTTTTTACCCACCATACACTCAGTTGAATGCCTAACAGTTTTTGTTTTAAAGCTTTTGCAAAGCTCTAGTTAGTTTCAGCATTCCAGTGAGATACTCTTGCGGTTGTTAAGGTAATTCAAGATGCTAATTTAATGTTGTCTTTGTACCTTCATACTCTGATGGAAAAGCATCATTTTCATTGCTCTTAATTGCAAAAAATATCATATATTTACACATGAAGGAAGATGTCAGGAATGTGGCAAGAGAGAATTCATTGACATATCAAAAAGGTCACAAAATGTATAGATCAGTGGTGGTGAACCTATGGTATGTGTGCCAGAGATGGCACTCAGAGCCCTCTCTGTGGGCACACGTGTCGTTGCCCCAGCAGAGTTTGCCAGAGTAGCAAATACATGGCGTTTGGAAGTGACAGGGCAAGAAGTGAGCGAGCAAGCAGCATTGGCCCCACGGGGATGCCCCGGAGATGACGAGGGACTGGCCCTGGCCACACTCACCCAGTCTGTCGTGACCACTGCAGCCATGCCCACCCAGTGGGCCACACACCCCGCCCCCCCTGAGGGCACCACAATGCTGATGCAGCCCTGGCACTTTGCGATAAATAAGTGGGTTTTGGGTTGCAGTTTGGGCACTCGGTCTCTAAAATGTTCGCCATCACTGGTATAGATGATATTTATTTGTATGTATGTTTGTTAAAAGATCTCAAATGCAAATCCAACAACATGCAACCTTGCTAAAATTCATCTTATTAACAGCAGGACTGGAAAATGTTAGCCAGTAAAATGCCAATTTTAAGGTAGGGTTTGTGAGGCATTTCCCTTCTTTTTGCCTTTGAACTTATTTTTATTATTATCCAGTACAACTCCAAAATAAGTAGGATTGCCAATTTTTGCTGAGTGTAGAAATTGTCTTTTGCTGATACTACTGTCTTTTTTTAAAACAGAAACCTGAGCCACAATAAACTGACCGAGATTGATCCTTCTGCCTTCACAAAGCTGCCAAAACTACGGGAAGTGTAAGTATTTTCTGTCTAAAGGACTTTTCATCCTGGCTGCTCTCTGTCTTCACTTCCATTCTGGCTGGGACAGCAGCAGGAAAAGGTATACAGTTTCCTAGGACGTGACTCTATTGTTCCTCCAGCTTGCATCAGCAAATTAAATCTGAGCTTTTGTTTTTCTTTCATATAGTACCTGGGTGCTGTTTAAAAAATTAACAGTCAATTAGTAGAACAGAGTGTCTCAATTAAACTGCAGTGTCTTTATTGGAAATCATTGGTGTTGTCTGTTCTTCCCTGGCTCTCTCTGCATCTATATTTCATAATCCCAAGGATAGCCAGGTAATCACACCAAGCTGCATGGATCTGTTTTCCTCCAATACGAAGTAGAGTCTGCTGTGACATCTAATGCTAATCTTTTCCTGCTGTCTCAAGAAGAAAAGGTGTAGTGTTGGTGCCATGGGATAATTATTTTCCCTCCCTCTCTCCCTCCCACCCTCTGCTCTCTAGCAGGAGAGACAAAGAGCTTCTTCCCAAGGCTGGTTTGAAGAGCTCTCCGTCCTTGAGTCAGCAGAAAACTATCCTAACACAAAAGTGGCTGCCCCATTACTCTGTCTGTCTGTCTGTCTATCAATTAATTTCTCAGCATTCACATTGATTCACCAGTTTTCAACTATAGTCTCACCACACCATAATGTACTCTAGATGATGAGAACCTATATAGTTGCCCATCTCATAAAACATTACTCCGGGCAGGGTACAGCAACTGATTAAAATAAATATATAAAAACAGCCATTATTAAAATATTTAAACCTTCCCCCCTCAAAAAAAAAAAAACAAGAGAGAGTGAACGTTAACCCTGGAGCCATCTCAAGTTTTCATCTGTCCCCTGGAGCCCCCAGATCTGATGGAATAAATTATTAAATAATAACATATTTTACCCTAATACTAATCTTTAGAGATGTTTGAAAAGATGTGTCTTGCTGTGCAGGCATGTTACACTAATAATATATTCTGCTGTATATTGCTATACAATTAATTATTTCAAATAGTTAATTATATTGCAAACAGTACAGGTAATAATAGTAGTAATAATAATAATACAACAATAACAACAATAATAATATAGTATAGTATAGATTGCATATATAGATTTCAAAACTAAACTGTGTTCTAGTAAACATGATATCTGTAGTGTATGCAGAAGGTTAGGAAATGGTACTTTGTTAATATCCTTTGATAGTTCGCAACTTAGTTGTGATGATTTGGATACCTCCTTTTTGCAACTGCATACAGTACCCTTAACTATTATACTATTACATTCACATATCAATGAAACATTCCATTTCTTGTGAAGTGGCTTTTGCTGCTACAGCTTCACAATGAAGAATGCAAGCAACTGATTAAAAAATGATTTAAAAAACCCCAACATAGTAGCCACAATGTTCTTTTAATCTGCATTGGTTAGAGCAGGGGTAGGCAACCTTGGCTTTTTTATGACTCATGGACTTCAATCCCCAGAATTCCTGAGTCAGCATAGGGTTAGAGCTTCACTTGCACCATTGTGAAAGCCATCTTGACTTTTTTGACTACACTCTGTGGTTACCCCTGAATGCGAAGTTGATACTTTGCACATGAACTGGTGATGTGGCATAGGGAAGGCAGGACAGTATACAATGTTTGCAATAGCGGTGAACATCTGTAGCTCGGGTGTAGGAGGAGGGTGAAGGTTCGTTCTCCGAGCTTTTGGGTTGGTTTCTGAACATTTTGTTACCAGGCTAGGTAACATCTTCAGCAGAGTTTAGGGGATTTCAGTGTTCTTCTGTTTCTAAGGGCTTTAGGTTTACAAAGTGTTATATAAGAGTAGCAGAACTATTTAGAATCAGTAATCTAGCATGCTGTTCCCACAGTGGCTAACCAGATATTTCCTGTTTTGTACCTATCATGAATCTACCCAGGATTGCAATGAGATATATATATATAGGATTAATCCATTCAATTAATAACTAAAATAAAACAAATGATTCTGCTTGACCCAGTGATTAGCATTGGAGATCATACACCATTGGACTACATAATAATAATAATAATAATAATAATAATAATAATAATAATAATAATAATAATAGTAGTAGTAGTAGTAGTAGTAATAATAATAATAATAATAATAATAATAGAGTTGGAAGGGACCTTGGAGGTCTTCTAGTCCAACCCCCTGCTCAGGCAGGAAACCCTATACCATTTCAGACAAATGGCTGTCCAGTCTCTTCTTAAAACCTTCCAGTGGTGGAGCATTCACAATTTCTGGAGGCAGGTTGTTCCACTGATTAATTGTTCTAACTGTCAGGAAATTTCTCCTTAGTTCTAGGTTGCTTCTCTCCTTGATTAGTTTCCATCCATTGCTTCTTGTCCTGCCCTCAGGCGCCTTGGAGAACAGCTTGACTCCTTCTTCTTTGTGGCAGCCCCTGAGATACTGGAACACTGTTATCATGTCTCCCCTCGTCCTTCTCTTCGTTAAACTAGACATGCCCAATTCCAGCAACCGTTTCTTATATGCTTTATCTTCCAGTCTCCTAATCATCTTTGTTGCTCTGTACTCTTTCCAGAGTCTCAACATCTTTTTTACATCATGGTGACCAAAACTGGATGCAGTATTCCAAGTGTGGCCCCACCAAGGCATCGTAAAGTGGCATTAACAATTCACGTATTATGTTGTATGAAACTTGCTTTTTGTCTGAATATTCCCCTCTCCACTCTTTTTACACGATGTTTAATTAAATGACATTTTTTTCTTTTTAGCAATTTATTTTTGTAAGCTGAAAAGCCAAAAATTCCTGCAGTTTTTATCTATCAAGGCTCTTGAACACCGCATGGAATGAGAATTTATGGCTGTCTAAAAGTTGTTGAACTATCCCACCTGACGGCATAAAGGGCGCTTGAAAGTCTTTAACACTTGAGCACAATGTCTAATTTCAGAGTTCACAAAACCCTAAACTAGTTTTAATCATAATCAGGGCCAAATTGCATAAAGTTCCTTTCCCAAACTAATTTTTTTTTACTATTTTGCCTTAAAAAAAAAGAGTAAAATCTAAGTGCCTTTCAGTGACTCCTCAAGAGAACTGTGCTATTTTTAAGTAGGATCCATTTCAACATGACATTAGCCTGGCAACTAGGTTGTAAATATTTTATACTGAGTGGCACTCCCCCTCCCCCTGTTACCACACGTAGTAGTATCACGATCAAAGGGTTGGAAAGAGAGCTTTTAGTTGTAGTTGCTTCAGAGAGTTGTTCAGCCTGTCTTACCTTTGCTTGTTATTTAAGAGAAGCTCCTGACCACATGCCAAAAGCACCTTACCCAACAATATGCCAATATTTAACAGCAAAATAAACTAACAACCAAGAATTTACTGTTTAGATTGCTAGTAAGTTCTAACTTGTCCTTCCAGGTTATACCTGCCAATCAACACCCTATAGAAGCTTCTGTTATTGAATATACCTGAGGTCCTTCCTGTTTGCATTAACAAGCCTTAGAAAAGAATTCATGAATGAAGCCATTCGTCATCATTGAAAACCCTATTTATGTTCCAATGTTCATATGGAGCTCTTTCATAAAAAGATGTCCATTTACACATCTTTTGTGTGTGTATCGATAAAGGAGATGACATTTTTGAGATCCAAGCAAAATTTGTGAACTTCTGGAGAACATCAGGATGTTTGCTATCTATCTTCATGGCACAGCTTTCAATAGATATATAAGTTCAATAATCTCTTTCTTGGTTTCTGGAAGGTTTTATTGAACCCAAAATACCCACATGTATTTTTTTGAAGAAAACTGTTTATACTTGTAAATGATTGTTCTTGCTATGGTTTATGTTTGGTTAATTGGATATATGCATTACTGCTATATCTTCTTATATACTGCTTTATCTTTTATATACTGCTAGAACATTTTCAACATAGCATCCTTCAGATATGAGTGTTATTCATTTATTTTTAAATAGTGGATATTGATTTAATAAACATTCAAATTGGTTTACAAAATGTTCAGCTTTTGTATTGCCCAGAGAATCTAGCCAATACAAAAATCAGGCATTTTGTAATTTCTGTTTTGTTCGAAGGATGCTGGCCTGGGAAAGATTATTGATATAAACAATAACTTATAATTTGTTGGTTAACAGGTATATTTTTAATAATTGTAACCATTTTCTTTGCTTGACTTTTAAACATAATGTTAACAAATACAGAAATGCTTTGATATAAAGGAGCTTCCTGAAACAATTGGACCTCAGTTTTATTTTGCAACTTTTCTCCCATCTCTTCATTTTACTGATATAGTGAATCTTATATCTAAAATAAAGCACAAACCATTTTAAATCTTTGCTGCTTGAAAAGACAAAGGATAAATAAACAAGATCCAATTATATGTACCTCTTGTAGAGTGAGAGAAACTCTCCTATTCTTAGGCAGGAAGCAAAGGTTTTTTTTATCTCGGTAACTTTTTTTGACTATTTCTTTGGAAAGGTTAAAGCTAGGCAAGGAGGCCAGGAAATTGGGCACTTTTCAAGCAACCAGACAAGCACCTGTTTAATGCTAATTAATGGACTAATTCAACATGGGAACAGCAGGTTTCTAAATCCTGAAGGAAACAGGCTACAGTACATGACCTAGGTCACCTTTTTTTCAGTAGCCCAGTACAGACCTCGTACTACTAAGAGCGATAGTCTGAAATCCAATAATTCAGCAATGGAGGATGAAACTGTAGCAGTCCATTTTTTTCATTTCCCTTAGACAAAGATTGAATCTTAAAGCATCAACCCTTATTTGTATTTCATTTATATCCAGCATGTACCCCAAAAGACCATTAATAATCCTTAACTGAAACAGTTAAATGGGTATACTTTGCTGAAATAAGTGTACTTTTGATGTAATAATTTATTTTACACAATATATCTTTTCTTCTTTAAGAAGAGGTAGGGGATGTGCTTGTGGAAAATAATAATAATAATCACAAATTCAGTCCTTTCAATTTCAATTCCTTCTTTCTGCTGAGCTACTGAGCATTTACTGATTTCTTCCATATCTTTTTATCTTCTACTTCTTTTTATGCCTTTGAGTCAGTGTTGACTCTTGCCAACTGCCTGGGCAAGACTGCAGTTTTCTTGGCAAGATTTCAGAAGTGGTTTGCCATTGCCTCTTTCCTAGGGCTGAGAGAGAGAGAGGGACTGGCCCAAGATCCGCTAGCTGGCTTTGTGCCTAAGGCAGGATTAGAACTCCTAGTTGCCCAGTTTCTAGTCTGATGTTTTAACCTCTACACCAAACTTTCTCTCTCCACATGCAGTAAGATCCCCAAATTCATGAGACTGATGGACTCATTTAGACGGAATAGTTGCCATAGGGTCTGACCAGCCATAAAGCCATCTGAGTCAATGCATATTGTGAGAAAAAAGAGGAGAGACAGATGGAACAGGATGCCAATTATAGAGAACAGTCATACTCGCAGCAACATCAATCCTGTATGCAAATAAATTCTTCATGCTGTTGCCTCTGTCAGCATCTAGCTAAAATGGACAGCACTAATCTGGATTGCTGAAGGGACACAGCATAGGAGACAGGTGGTTGGGAGAACCAAGTCTTATTGGCGCTTTATACAGAATAGACTTGGGCAGCAGGTCCTTCTTTCATTTCCCTTTGACCACATGATGGTATCTAAAGCAGCAGACTACAGTGGTGTCTAAAGCTGGAGACTACTGCCTAACACAATAGCTCTAGGTGGGGTCATTATCATCTGTTATAACTAATGATGCAGTCCTCTTTCAGGAGTCATTGTGGCTACGATCACTACTATTCCTGAAATGGCTGTAACCATATCCAGTACAGTAATTAAGTCCAATGAGGAGATCCTAATAGAGATTCTTCTTGTCCCCAAGCCATCCATTAAAAATACGTACTGGTATATCAAAATAAATTGTATACAAGGATATGGATCAGGAACTCTCCTTAGAACTGCCCAGGAACTGCATATGTCCCGTGATCTGTAGTTTGCCCAGCCTTGGAGGGAGCTGGCACTTGTTGCTGTTCCATAAATATGTGTTAGCAATAACTGAAGTAGGCATGGAATGTGCAGCTGGGTTTCTGTTACAAGTGCTCTTGGCAGTGACTTGGCTGGAAAGTCACAGAATTACAGGAAGCGCACTGACACATTTCTGCATGCAACTGGGCTTCTAGGTTAACAATCATGACCGACAGCAAGCAATAAAAAGTAACCTGAGATTTGAAAAAAAAAATATTGCTTCATTTTTTTTAATAATTGTTTCTTGTTGTTGTCATTGTTTCCTCCAGGCGACTGAATAACAATGAACTGACAGCCATTCCATCCCTGGGAGCAGCTTCAGCCCACATAACTTCCTTGTTCCTGTAAGTCTCAGCATTAGCATTCCTATGAGTATATTTTTAATTTGAAGAATCTGTGCAAGGTATACTGTGTGTTTCTTATTTTAGCTTTAATACATTCAGTGATATCTGACCAGCTGGAGCTTAGTAAATGTTGAAGTTCCAGTTAAAGACCTCTACTGTTCTCACCTGTAAAGTACTTAAAGAGAAAAGTGAAATCTTCCATGAGTTTTTTCTCCAGAAATGCCTTGGAATACAAAAATCTAGAATACATTAGTAAAGTCTAACCTGAAAGAGAGAAACACTGGTATGCTGTGGTACCTGAAAGAGAGAGAATGAAGGTGATCGGTTATAGGTCTCAGGACTCAATAGAGGTTATAGGTTTGCAGAACTTAGTTGAAAATTTATTTTTTTTTCCAATCATTTATATAAATCCTTATCTTCAGATGTGCAAGATTTGGTTAAAATGTCATTAAAAGTGCAGTCCACACATTCCTGAACAATATGTTTCTAGATTGGCTTGATTAAATTCTAAATCCAGCGACCCTGAAAACTATATTTGAATAAAATTTCCCTGCTAAGTATCAAATTAAGGATGGCAAGAATACAGGTAGTCTTTGACTTACAATCATTCCTTTAGCAACCATTTGAAGTTATAACAGCACTGGGAAAAGTGACCTATGGTTGGTTCTCGCACTTACAGCTGTCACAGCACCTCCGCAGTTATGTGATCAATTTCAGTCAGGATGTATTTATGATGGTTGCAGTGTCCTGGGGCCAGATGATCATCGCCTGATAGCCTTCCTAGCTGGCTCTGACAAGCAAAGTCAATGGGGGAAGCTGGATTTGCTTAATAGCAATAGCACTTAGACCCAGTGATTCTCAACCTTTTTAATGCCGCGACCCCCAACTGGTCGTAAGTTGAGGACTACTCAACTGGTTGTAAGTCGAGGACTACTCAACTGGTGCAGCACCGTTTGCAGAATGGAACTTTTGGCGGGCTCAGCAGGGCAGAGACAGCCTGGACAATTCCTATTGGCTTTTGAAAGCCAATAGAATTAGACTCTATTCAAGAGAGTCTATTCTATTGGCTTTCAAAAGCCAATAGAATAAAAGGGAGTAGCACAGCTAAGGAAAAGGGGGGAAAAAATGGCGGACTGCGTTGTTTGGCGACCCCTGTGAAATGGTTGTTCCACCCCAAATGGGGTCCCGACCCACAGGTCGAGAACCACTGACTTAGACTTATGTATCGCTTCAGAGTGCTTTACAGCCCTCTCTAAGCGGGAGAAACTGTAATAATACCTTCTATAAAACAATTTATTTCAACAGTAATGCATCAGGATATACCTGAAAATTTAAAAACGTTGTCTCTAAGTGATAGCACAGTAAAGCGACAAATTGATGAAATGGCAGTTAATGTTGAAAAAAAAACCTGATAAGTATTCTCCAAAACTCTTCATTTTCCATGCAATTGGACGAGTCTACCGCTGTAGATAATAATGCTTTATTGATGGCATATGTACGTTATTTTGATGAAAACAATACATTACGAGAAGAAATGCTATTCACAATAAATCTCACTACAGATACAAGAGGATTATCTATATTTAATACTGTGAAACCATACTTTACAAAAAATAATATTCCTTTGAATAATATTGTTGCATGCGCTACTGATGGAGCACCATCAATGGTAGGTTGCTATTATGGATTTGTTGATTATTTGAAGGAAGAAGTGCCAAAAGTTTTATGTATTCATTGTGTGGTGCACAGACAATGAATACATAATACATTAGGAAAACATCTAAGTATAACTCTCCATTCATCATTGACTATAATAATTCGAGCCATAAACAAGATCAAATCCAAACCAAAAAATGATAGAATGTTTCGACAGCTTTGCCAAGACAATAATGAAGATTTTATTATGTTACTTTTGCACACAGAAGTTTGGTGGCTGTCAAAGGGTACATCTTTGGCTCGTTTTGTAGCATTATATGATAGTGTCATACAATTTTTTGAAAGTAATAATGAGACCAATCTGTGTCAACAGTTAAAAACAGTAAAGAATGATGCCTTTTATTTGGCAGATATTTTCAAGAGATTTCATGATGTCAATTTGCAGCTTCAAGGAGCTAATAAAACTCTTATAGGTTGCTAAAGTATTGTGTCATTATTTATTGACAAACTTGAACTATTTCGTTATAATCTATTGAAGAGACAATTTCATCAGTTTCCTGAATTATCATCTATAAAAGAGGATGTAACTCCAGAGGATATTGACAGACTCAGTAGCCACCTCAATGAACTTAAATTGGACATGGAAAAACGATTTGAAGATATTTTGAAATTGAAGGTGTATGACTGGATGAAAAATCCTTTTACCGCAAATATTGAAGAGGCTGATACAACTTGCCAAGAAGAACTATTAGAAATTAGATATGATGAAGAAAGTAAACATACATTCAATAATGATAGATATGAAAACCTATGGCAAAGTAAAAAATGCCTGTCTTATATCCAAATATGTGGAAAATGATATTCAGTTTATTGATACCTTTCCCTACCTCATATCTTGTGGAATCAGGCTTTAGTGCTGTTCATCATATTATGACCAAAGAAAGAAACCGTCTGAATATTTCCGAAAGAGGAGACCTTTGTTTGTTCCTTATAAAAATTGAGCCAGATATCCAGTATTTAGTTTCGTAGCATCAGCCTCAGGGATCTCATTAATAATTTAATTAATTAAATGTAATTTCATCAGACTTCCTGCTTCTATGTATGCAACGGTAAGTTGTTTTATAAAGATTTATTCTGCCAAACTTAGCGAAAGTCCGACATAAAGTATTTGGTAAGTAATTATTATTATATGCTTTAACTTGCTATAACTCTGCTTTATAAATTTTATAAAGTAAAGTTACTTCCCTACTTTATAAATCACCTTTACTGTGGAACCGGTGGGCGGTTAGAAAATTTTACTACTAACAGAGATACAAAAGTGGGCGGTAGGTATAAAAAGGTTGACTACCCCTGATTTATAGTAAAAATCAAAGCATTGAGTGAAATTATATCAATTACTGCTGCTGTCACTACTAGCCACAACGCTCAATTGACAATTTACAAATAACAGTATCAAAGTATCGTAACGTTAATCAATCTGAAACTATCAAATCTCCCTTCCCCCCAAAAGAAAATTCCTATTCTAAGAGGCAAAAATCATAATAATGAAAGCAAGAAAGTAGTTTTTTAAGCCTCTTCCGAAGCCATGCAGCCAGGGGATGGTATGCATTTCAATGACGGAGAGTTCCATCCACTTGGTTCAGTCACTCAGTAGCTGGATGAGGAATTCTGGAATCTGAAGTCCACAAGTCTTAAAGTTGTCAAGGTTGAAGACCCCTGGCTTAGTTGAGTCTAACTGACCTCCTAGGTCAGGGGTAGGCAACCTTGGCTCTTTTATGACTTGTGGACTTCAATAACCAGAATTCCTGAACCAGTCATGCTGACTCAGGAATTTTGGAAGTTGTAGTCCACAAGTCATAAAAGAGCCACGGTTGCCTACCCCTATCCTAGGTTAACACCTGCAATACAATCCTTCAAAGGCCACTGGAGCTTGTGGTAACCTTTTTACAATTGTGGTATGACCAGCTTGAATCGCAATCTGTCCTGGAATTGCAGTTGCTTACTTACTGCCTGTGGTGTGCTTAGATTTGCTATGTGGACACTTTCTAAATGCAACTGGTTGTTTCTTAGTTGTTGTGGTCATAGACCAGCATCTGATGATTAGCAGATTTCTATACTTTTTGGCAATTCTTCTGGCTCAAACATATCCTTTATACTTAGCTGTTTGATTCTATTGAGGGCATTCATGTTGAGGGTATTTTTCCTAGGGTTGATGTAGAACATTTAAGTAAAGACATAAAAAACAAATGATACGTCTCTGCAAAATCTCAGCATAATTCTAGACGTAGCAGTCTCATAGTATATTGTTAATTGAGGCACAGCCTGACATGTATTACAGTTTAACTGTTCACTGGGGAACAGATTTTATTTTTTTTTCCTTTCTGCTTTGAAAATATTGCCAAAGAAATTCATCTCCAACACTAGCAAACATTTGGAAAGGATTTTATGGGAACAGAAGAAAACAATTTGTATGTGAGTTAACCAAAGACAGACCTGCAAAAGAGATATAAATATCGACAACCTGGTGGTGATTCTGATCCAGGAAATTCAAAGTGTGGAGACTATATTTTGAAGCACATCTCTACAAATTCCAAAGATACACCAGGAGCAGATCTCATTGTAACTTATTTAATTATTGCTTGTGATGTAGAACCTTGACGGATTTTTTTACAAGCTTTCTGAAAAGTTCAGGAGAAGCAGAATTCTCTCTATGGTACGCATTGTTCCAATTCTCCAATTCCTTTTATAAGGACCCCTGAGGATACTGAATTACTAGAAGGGAGTTGAAGAAATTTGCAAAGCAGGCAATGACACAATCAAGTAAAAAGTCATATAGCCTCCTTTGAGGACTTCACAGATACCAAAAATGGGCTTAAAATGATAAAACTGATCCATCCCCATTTTTGAGGCCTTTGAGGACAAATCCGTGTAAAGAATATTTTTCCGACATTTGGCACTTTGAAGCACTAGCAAAAGAATGAGAGTGTCTGCTAACTGATGAGTTCAATACAGATGTCTTTCCCAATAAAGACACATGTTAACTAACTACATATGTTAAACAACTGGTTGGTTTCAAGATGGAGAAGGGAGGCCAGAATTCAAGGAGGAGAATAAGTGTGGAGAACTTGTGGCCCCTCCAGATATTGCTCAATTGCTATTCTCATCTTTCTTCAACTCTGTCCACATTGGAACTGTTGGGATTTCCGGTTAATAAACATCTAAAGTATGATATGAAAAGGTTTAGAGTATATTATAATGTGTTTAAAGATTGGGTTTTTTTTCTTTTCTTTTTTTTCTTTTTATTATTATTTTTAAGAGAAGGTAATTTGTTTAATTAAACGTAT